AGGCAGATCTCTATGAGTTCAAGGCCAGCCTGGTCTACATAGTGAGTTCCAGGTCAGCTGGGACTACAGGGAGACCCTGTCTCAAAAAGACCAAAGAAAAATTCACCATCCAACAGCTTAGGATTCTTTTCTTTTTCCTGGAGTTCTAGTTGCCCTGGGGAAGACAGGACTGTCTCTATGTGCTGAGGGTTTCTGAGCTGTGTTGGGAACAGCTGCAGAGCACCAGATGCATCAGATGCATCCTTTCCAAGACCAGAATTGGTACAAGCTGAATTACAAATGCAGGAAGTCAGACTTGAGTTTGCCATGTTGTCATGTTAAATAAAGAAGGGAGGGATGGAGGGAGGAAGTCTTGCCTCAGTCTCTCAAGTGCTGGGAATTTCAGAAGTGAACCACCATACCCAGCTTTAAATTGCTGGGGTCTTGATTAAAATGTAAAGCAATAAGACTTGCTCTTACTGGAGTCTATTCCATGACAAGACTTGGGCTATTTATTTAGAAATTCCAGTCAGGAAGGTATGAGCATCCTTTTCCTTAAAAATCTCTCTCTTTGGGGATCAGGGAGATGGTACAGCAGAGAAAGACACTTCCTGCCAAGCCTGATGACCTGAGTTTGAGCCCCAGGACCCATATGGAGAAAGAAAAGAAATGACTCCACAAAGTTATTTTTTGACCTCCATGAGTTGTGATATACATGCCCACACATGCATGACATTTTTTAATTAACTAATTAAAAAGATTTACCTCTTCAGAAATAGTTTCATCCTAAAACCATGTAATATTCTTCCTGAGAACAGAAAGCTCAACCCTAATTGTTCTTATAATAGGCATTTTGTAAAATAGCTGGCAAGGAGTCATCTTAGTATACATTTGTCACATAACAATGTACCTGAAGCTGGGTAGTTTATTTCTCACAGTTTTGAAAGGAGGAAGTCCCAGAGCAAGGCAGTGCCTCCTGAAGACCCAGTCTCTGCTTCCAACATGGCACCTTGGACTCTGAACCTTCCAAAGAGGATGAATGCTATATCCTCACATGACAATTAAAGAAAGTGTCTGGCTCATTCTTTCCAGCTCTTTGATAAGGGCTTGAGTACTATTCTTGAGGGGGTCCACCCTAAAGATCTCACCTCTTAATAATTAGCCATTCAGTTTCAACATATGAATGTGGAGGAACATATTCATACCATAGCAGGCTTTTTTGAGTCATCTGCAACGAAGGGACTGAGTTTCTTTTCTTTTTTTTCTTTTAAATTTCATTTATTATTTTTATTTTATGTATATGCATGTATTGCCCGCATGTAGGTAAGTGTACCCGTGTCATGCAATGCCTGCGGAGGTCAGAAGAGGCTGTCAGATCCCCTGGGACTGGAGTTATGGACAGTTGTCAGCTGCCATGTGGGTGCTCAGATTCGAACCTAGGTTTTCTGCAAGAACAGCCAGTGTTCTTAACCGTCTCTCCAGGCCCCGGGACTGAGTTTCTAAAAGTCCAGCTCCATAAGCCCATCTGGGGTTGGAGCCAACAGAAAACCTAAGCTGCAATGCTTGGATCACCTGAAATCCATGTCTCAATAATAGGACAGGGCTATGTTCCTAGGCTAGGAAGACCTTCCTTGAATTTAGTGTTCTTATCAAATGAACGACCTTCCTTGAATTTAGTATCCTTATCAAATGAAAGGGAAATTTCAGGAAAGAGGGTTCAGAGGTGCTTTACAGCTTTCCTTCCCTATTGCAGACAGTGCTGAGCAGCATTTGTCCAACCTTTAAGGTCTCCACCCTCAGAAGCCCTCAGGAGACTTCTGTTCCTTCTGGCCATCCCAGAACCTCCAGGCAGGGATGGAGTATAGTGAGACTATCTGGGTATAAATGGAGAAGGACTTCTGAGGCAGTGTGGTGGGGAGGGGGACGTTCTTTACTTCCCCTGGGACCAAAGAATCAGTCAGGGTGGCATCCCACTTGAGCTGTGTCCAGTGGCAGGAAAACTCTATGGAACAGGAATTCTGTCTGTTTTATTGCTGCTGGATCTGAGAGTCAAGATTGGAGCCTGCATACCCCAGGCCCTAAAGACATGCAGTATTAATTGCTTTTCTCATCATTCTCATTCTCAATATCTAACAAGAAACAATGTAAGGGAGGAAGGGCTTATTTTTATGAATTTTCTTTTTTTCTTATTTTTTATGTGTGTGAATGTTTTGCCTGCATGTACATAAGTACACCTCTGTTCTGCAGTGCCCAAGGAGGTCAGAAAAGGGCGTCAGATCCCCTGGAATTGCAGTTACAGATGGTTGTTAGCTGCCATGTGAGTGCTGGGAACTGAACCAGGGTCCTCTGCAAGAGCATCCAGTCCTCTTAACTGCTGAGCCATCTCTCCAGTCCTAGAAGGGTTTATTTTGTCTCATGGTTTTAGGGTACAGTCCATCACAGCAAGGAAGGCATGGAGGCAGGAACATCTGCATTTAGGAAACAAAGGGAGATGAATGCTGGGCCTCCGTTTACTTTCTCCTTTTTATTCAGTCTTGGATTCTAGCTCATAGAGTGATGCTGTTCACATTCTGGGTGGTCTTCCCCCCTCAGTTAAACATCTGCAAACTCCCATACAGACCTTCCCAGAAGTGCATCTCCCTGGGATTCTAAATCTAGTCGAGCTGACAGTGATGATTACATCTGCTGTCCTACTTTCTTGAATAAGTGAGTTTCTCATTTTATTTTAGGCCTATGGGGAGGCTCTTTCTCCCTTCTTATTCTTTAATATAGTAAAACCTAAGGAAGGAAGTTGCTTTGAGCTTAATGTAGGAATGGCCAAATGTGAGGGATCCTTCCTTGTTGTCATATGAATAGTCTATCTCACTGGTCCACAAATATTATCTGGCAAGGGCCAGGTTGTAAAGATGTAAGGCCAGACAGTATCTGTTGCAGCAGCTGAACTGTGCCATCTTAGCAGGAGAATAGACTTTACATGGAGGTGGCAGCTGGATTTGGCTCAGAAGTAGCCTTCCCCTGTGTGTCACTCTTGAAGAAGGCCTAGTTAAGCTGCTTTCAGAGAAAATAACAAAGCCCTGGATCAAGCCGATTTAACCTAGGAAGTCATTTATGATCTCACACAGCAGAAAAGCTGAGGTAGGACAGCCCCCTGACCTAGTCAGTGCAGCGGTTCACCCCCTCCTTTTCCACTTATTCCCAAGGCTCCTGACCTTCATGGATCCCAAGGAAGATCTATAAGCCCTCGGTTATAATGTTTGATCAGGGAGGTACAGGGAGTGCCCAGCTCTGAACAACAGAGAATCTCAAAGGGGCCATGTACCAGTAGATTAGACCAACTGAGGTAACTGAATATTCATGAGCCAACCTCCAGCACTTCTAAAGACACATCACAGATCATAGCCACGACCTGTTACTTCCTCTGCTTCCTGTGAGAACAGAAAATCTTCAAGCCCATAAGATGTTCCCTAACACAAAACAAAATAATGCTTGCCAATGTTATTCCTATAATTACAAAACCTTAGGAAAAGGATTAAGCCAAAGTATGAATACAGAGCTCTAATTTTTGAACAAAATGTGTCTGTCACCAAATTTCATCATGTATATCTGCACCTTGATGCATAGGTTATTGATAATGACCACATTCATTCAAAACAGCCACTCTGGTGAATGACTCATAAATTAAACAGAAAACCAGGCAGGCACAGCTTTTTTATTAAATACACTTTCTTATGCCTTTTTGTTGATTATTATCTTTTTCTTGACCGTTCATTTTGCTGACAAATATGTTTGACTTTAGTAAGAGGGTCACTCAGACACTAGGGTCTGACAAGTGATCACAGTATCTTTGACCTTGGTTAAAAGAGTAAAAAGTTGTCCAAGATTATAAGTTGCCCAGACTTCAGTGATCTTGTTTACTTTGCCTTTATTTGGGTTTTATTTTGCATTAGATAATGTAAATAGGCTTCTAGACGGTTCTTCAGTCCTTCCTTCGGTCCTCAATCTGCTAGGCTCATTGTACATGGGGCACCCGTAGCTATGGTGTTGAACCACCATAGTTAGCACAGCTAGCAAGCTGCTTGTACCACAGTTAGCAAGCTGCTTTTATAATTGTCAATAATCACTACTATCATTGCTCTTATAGTTTATCGTTTCAATATTTTATAACTACAACTTGACCCACATGATTCATTATTCTGTCTTTGATACTACAAACTAAGCAAACCTCGACCTTGTTTCATTTATTTTAATTGTGAATTTACTTAGATAAAAATGTCATATTTAAATTGAATGTGAATCAGGTTGACAAGTTGAACGATTTTCTCACCTCTGTATTACTAATAGGCGTTTTAATTAGGTTATTGTTGTTACCGTAGATGAAAGACTTTAAAGAACACTGTGAAACAATGAGAAAAGAGACATACAATAAGAAGAAAGAATTGACTAGATTACAAAATAAAATAATAAAAATGAAGCAAACAGTTACTACCAGCACCATGGTAAGAAAGAATAAACCACACTTTTGACTAAAACCCTATGTGTTCATCTCAGAAAAAAAACAAGTTGATTTTAATCATCTTCCTGTCATTCTGAGAGAATGATTTTGGCATGTTAACATTTTCTGATACTTTCTTTTTATTTTTTTTACTTATTTATTTTTATTTTATCTGTATGAGTATTATGCTTGTATATACATACACGGGCACCCATGTCATGCAATGCCCCAGAGGTCAGAAGAGGGCATCAGAGCCCCTGGAACTGGAGTGGTTAGCCTGGACAATTGTTAGCCAACGTGTGGGTGTTAGGATTTGAATGTGGAATGTTGTGTGATGGACCAAAATAATGTGAAAATGGTCAAAAACTACACATAGAACTAACTAAATATATGTAACAGAAATACCTGTTAACTTTTGTCACAAGTTGAATGAATGGGCCTATAGTGTATTTCTTCTGTGTCTATTGGAAGTCACAGGCAAAACCACACTGATCCAACAATAATATAGGAACATCACATTTTTCTGCCAGAATGCACCATTAATTCCATCATATTTTACAAAAGGTATATCTTCTCACCTTAATTATAACATGTCCATTATGATGGATGTCTAATTGTATAACACTGATAAAGCCAAATACTTCTCCCAAATATGTACGTTTAAGGAGACTGTTATCTTGTTATGGCCCCAAATGGAGCCCCCCAAATTGTAATAGCCAAAGTAACTTCATTTTGTATAAAGCAGCCACTTTAAATTTCAAAAGCTAGAAAAATAGCCAGCATCAAGGTTAAGCACCTGAACTTAGTTGCTTCCCCTTAGAAGAGTGCTTTCTTTGGAGTAGCTGACCTTGGGTTTCCCAGACACAGTAGCTGCACTTAATCAGAAAGTGGCTTATTGCCAAGGTCTCTATACCTCGTTAAGAGAAGGACTAACATAAACTTGCTTTGGCTCCTGTAGTTTGCTTATCTGCTAACTTGGGAGCCCTGACCATATTCAGGACCACCTGGCATGAAATTCCTATGGTATTTGTGGATTTTGCCTTTAAAAGTTAGTTCCACCCTCCCCTCGGGGCTGTGGGTCCTAAATCTGACTAAGGGACTAAGGCTGGCTATAGCCCTAATAGATTTAACCAATTAAAATTTGAATTGAGTCTGGTGGTCTTTTTCCCAGTGTTTTCAAACTCTGTGACAATCTGTTTAGATGTCACCATGCTAAAGATGCAGAGATAAGAGTAAGCTTAAGAAAAATTGTTACACAAAGCGTGTTTCATCTGTGCACCCAAGCTCATATTTCCAGTTTTGGCCTCAGAAATCATGAATGAAGCACCCAACTAACCTAGAAAACTAAGTAAGTGTAAGTTCCTTAACATATACTCCAAGATCTCTAAGGTCATTAGGCTTGAAGATGGCAGCCGTAAACGCACCCCCAGGTTCTGTTTCACCCCCTGCAGTTTAGCACTTGAATGTCACATCTACCTGGACTCAAGTCTTGGCTCTACCAACCTGAAGATTCTTCACCTATTAAATGAAGATTTTGATGGAGAGTCACAGGGTCATGTCTAGCAAGCTCAGTGCTTTGCGTTTGATCAAATTTATGGCTGTTTCTAACTGAGATTAGAAGATGCGTTTTAGGCATAGACCGAGTCCACAGGGAACTACAGACTAACTTTCATGGCACCTTCAATTTAAAAGTCTCTGTCGTCAGGTCAGGTCAGTAGGATGTTAGCAGAAAAAGAATAGACGGTGATTCTCTAAGCAGGCTGCCTGTTCGGGGCAGGGATGATTGTTAGCTGGGGACAACGAATAGTCGATGAATAGCAGACCCAACAGCTTTGACTGCATGTATGATTTATGAAACCCACATTGGACATTGAGCTTTGATAATGAATATTAGGCCTAATCTGAATGATTGATCAGAGTCTTTCCAGCATTCTAATTTTGATATATATTTGTGTATATGCATGTGGCATATAATATGTATGTATGTGTGGTGTGTGTATGTATAGCATAACATGTGGTGTGTGGTATGTGGTGTGTGTATAGTTTTTGTGTTTACTGCTGTATTTGGTCATCCACCCAACCAAAATTTGGGTTTTCAAATTATTTCTGACCAACTTTATTTTATCAATAAGAAAGTCATAATCATCTCTTTTTGACTAAAGACAGCCCCACCATAAAAGTTGAATGAGTGATTCATGAATTTGTAGAAGACTCAATTGCTGTTCTGAATTATTTGGTGATAATTGGGTGCCATATTTTTGTTGAATTTTCACTAGGTGCTTAATGATCACAATTTAGAGATAGCGCGACTACAAGAAGAAGCCAGAGTTTGGGAGAGAAAGGTTGAAGACATAAGGAGAATTTGTTCGAGTTTGGAGAAAAAACTGTAAGTGTGATACTTCATTCTTATTGAAGTGCTTCTAGGTGTTAATGTATTAATGAGCTTTCCATCACTTTAACACAATACCTGGTATAATAAGCCGTGAAGAGAAAAGGGATTTTTTGGCTCACAGTTGTAGTGGTCATAAACCATGATCATATAGCCCCGTTGCTCTGTCCCCATGGCAAGGCATAAGTCTACAACCCACCAAGCCATGCTCTTACACTTGTTCTTAATCAAGGAATCTTTCATAACTGACTGAGGAAACAGGAAAGCCTCAGGCAAAGCACTGTTTCTTCGTGCGCCCTGGACCCAGAGCCTGAAGAAAGTCTTCCATCCATCCAAATGCTCATGGTCTGCCTCCTTTTGAGAAAATGCTTCAGCTTTCTGCCTTTACTGGTATCCAACATTCTAGTATTCTCTGGTTCCCTTCAGAATGAAGTCAGAATTCTTACCTGACCCTGAGAACTCTACATGATCCAGTCAGTCCTCATCTACCTCTCCAGTAACATTCTTGTTCTCAGTCTTAATACCCTAACCCTAGCTTACATTCTCTGGAACACCTAACACTGTCTTAAATGTATTGTTTATTTTTGATACCATGCTTCTATTCTGACTACCCCACTAGGTTTAATTTCCATGAGAGTAGGGACTTGGCATATTTTGTGTCCCTAGTACCTAGAACAAGTCTGGCACAGTGTAGGCACTCAATAATCTCTTCTCAAATGTATGTATAAATAAATGAAGTATAAATTCATTAATTCAAAAGAGTTAAAATTTGTATAAGAAACATACAAAAATAGGTTTTTCAGAGAAGGGGAGTAGAAACTTAGCATGGCATGAGTGAGTGGGGCTTTGTAGCAAAATGTGTTCTGATATATATCTCTGTCATTTTCTATGTTTATAAGGTGTTTTTTTGTGACTCACAAGAAAAATGTGGATAGTGAAGCTTCTAATGAAAAGATCGAGTATTTAGAAAGGATACAACAGGTAGGACAACAGAAATGACAACTAGATTATAATGTTAGATTGTATGTTTTAGTTACTATTTTAATTCTATATATGAAATGTAAATTTTCTTTTTTTAGTATTTTTTATTTATTATTTTTATTTTACATATATCCATATATTGCCTGCATGTAGGTAAGTACATCCATGTCATGCAATGCCCACAGAGGACAGAAGAGGCTGTCAGATCCCCTGGAACTGGAGTTACAGACAGTTGTTAGCTACCATATGGGTGCTGGGATTCGAACCTGTGTCTTCTGCAAGTAGGATCCCCTGGAACTGGAGTTATGGACAGTTGTTAGCGGCCATGTGGGTGCTGGGATTCGAACCTAGGTCTTCTGCAAGAACAATCAGTGTTCTTGACCACTGAGCCATCTCTCCTGCCAAAGAAATGTAAATTTTCAAAGTAGGCTTTTAATTGACTACTAATCATGATCATTCACAGTAATTAATTCAAACATTTTAGCTTCTCCCAAAGCACTGTACATTTATGAAACAACAGATATTGTCTATGTGAAAATGAATTGGGATTTCTTTTTGTTACTTTTCATGTAGACTGGTAGCTTTGTATGAGGAATAGCTATGATTAATTGGCATTTTCACATAAATTATTTAGAGAAATATGACTTCTTGCTGTACTTATAAAGCATGGCAATCTGTTCTACATTTAAAAATATTAGCGTTATTGAGAAGCATTTGAGTTGAATTTAGTCACCCAGAAAATGTTCTAGATAATTCATTTTGCTTCTTTTTATTGTTCTTTGCCTTTTTAATTTTCCCACATTTTTGCTTTTACTTTGATTTTTTTTATCTTCCTACATGTTCTCCAAACTTAGTTCAAAAGAAATATTATAAGTAACCATGAGTATAAGCCAAGATTTAGCCACAAGATACTCAATGAAGCATTAGCATGGATAGTAAAAAATGAGGAACTGGCAATATGATTTAAATCCAACAAAAGCAATTTAGTGTTGTTTATAATGTCACTGAGTGACAAGTACTGCGCTGTAGAACCGTATACATAATAAGGTCCCGTTTGTTTACCCGTATACACAAATGACTGAAATTCTCCTTTCTTCTGGCATTGAGGAGAAATGCCCTTGGTGTGTCTTCCTTACTCCCACAAATGCAAATCAATTTCCACAGTCCAGGCCCGAGTGTCAGTTCCCTCTGACTACAGCCTCTATTTTTGTTTTGCTCCAAATCAACCAGGATATGGTTGGTTTAACTAGTTTCAAAAGCAAATGTAAAAACACTAAATATTTCATGAGCTACTGAAAACTTCGTTTGGAAATTTTACTGATTATGGGGAAGATCTCACTGCAGAGCACAAAGCCTCTTGATCACCGCCTTTCCCTCATGTCCAGGTCCCTTGTCTGTCCTTCTGTAGGGTGTATAATCACTCCACATCCAAATTCATCTCCCTCTGCTGCAGAGCATCCCCCGGAATCCAGGGTCTGCACTGGGCCCTGAAGATCAGTAAGGATATCAGAGGCCCAATCCTCTCCTAAGAATAATTTGTATCAGTTAAATTCTATTTTGGATTTTGTGAGCAATCAGCACTAGAGATGGGTTCCCTTCAGGAGAAGACTTACTCTGATTCTTTTAGTTGCAAGTATACCACAAATCAAAGAAAACTAGCCAATTGGTTGGTTTTAAGTTTACCTTTCGTTTTCTGGGGTAAGGATAATTTTCTTTCCATTTGCTTCCCACTGGAGGAGCTATTTGATAACCCAGGGACAGTGGCTCCATGAGTTTTAGCCCTTGGGACTGTGCGAACAGTCAGAACCCCTAAACTAGCATGGTGCATGTAATTAAAGAGGAAATGTACTTTCCCTTCAATCCATGTCCCTCAGGAAAATTCCATGGCTATGTGTGAGCGATCATTTCAAAGAGAGCAGGGCTTGACCCATTTATTATTTCCTGTAGGGTAGAAACTGGCCTCCTAGTGACATCCAGTCACAATCCTCCTGTATTCTGAGAGCCAAGTTCAGAAATGATATTGAACTCTATCCTTAACTTCCCCCTTGAACATCTCTCCCATCCTCCACCAGGTCCCTAGTCTCTTGTTACCACCATCATACTCTCTACACCTACACAGTCAAGGTATTCAGATTCCACATATGAATGTAATCATGCAATATTTGTCTTTCTGTGGCTAAATTATTTCACTTATCACAACGTCCTCATTCCTATTACAGACAACAGGATTTCCTTCTTTTTAAAAACTGAATACTGAGTGTCCTGGTGCCAGAACCTTCCCTGGTGCACCTGTTCCATGAAGCTCCCCTGGAGCCAGAAGAGAGCATCACAGCCCCTGGAGCCAGAGTAACAGATGGTGGTTGCTATGTAGGTGCTGGGATGTGAATCCAGGTCCTCCAGAAAAGAAGAAAGTGCCTTTCACTACTGAGCCATCTCTCCAGCCCAAGTTTTGAATATTTTAAACAGAAAAGTCCATTTGAACAGATGAAATCCTTATAAATTATCACTATTCTTATTGATCAATGGTACCTACCTGGCACCATTGCATAAGATTTTACATTCATTTCTAAAATACAGCAGCAACAAAAAACCCTGAATACTATTCTATTGCGTATACCACATTGTCATTATCTGTTCATCCATTGAGAAACTCTTAGGATTGGTTGCATACTTTGGCTATTGTGAATAGTGCTGTGAACATTCCTTTGGCCCAGTAGTAGATTGTTAACCTTTTAAAAAAGTATTGTATTTATTGTTTTTATTTTATGTGTATCACCTGCATGTATGTAAGGGCACCCATGCTGTGCAATGCCTGTAGAAGTCAGAAAAGGGCACTGGATCCCCAGGAACTGGAGTTACAGACAGTTGTTAGCCACCATGTAGATGTTGGGTACTGAATCCAGATCCTCTGCAAGAGAAGCCAGTGCTCTTAACCACTGATCCATCTCTCCAGGCCCCCTGCTAACCTTTCAAATTATGAAATATTACACATACACAAAACAGCACATAAATGTAAATGTACAGTATCTATATCTACATATCTTTTGGTGAATATGATTTATCAGTTTTAATTATATTGATTTATCTTTTCTTTTTGGTTAATGCTATTTTTGTATCCTATGTCATGAGGATATTCTCAGCCACATTTAAGATTACAGGCTATCTAATTTGTATATGTTGTGAAATCAAGGTCAAGGTTCATAGTTTTCCCAATTAGGCAAAGACGGTCCTTTCTTCCTTTCTATTGCCATTGCACTAGTGCCATAATTCAACTGTCAACTATAAGATCATAAATATACATATAAACTATAGGCTTTCTATTTTACTCATTTGAACTATCTCTCTCTCCTCAGAGCATAACAGTGTTAATCTTAGTAAATTTAAAATAAATCTTCATAGCTAAGAGAGGCCAGCTTCAGACATTCTTAACCCTTAGAACTGCTACCATTTTGTGAAGTTCCATCAAGAAGCCTATTTGGATTTTGATTGGACTTGTGCTCAGTCTATAAACTAATTTGGGAAGGATTTGGAAGTTTCTGGTCCATGAAGTTGACCTGCATGTACTTTATTTCAAGTCTTGTTTATTGCATTTTTCACTTTGTAATTATTTGATACCTCCTCAGATCTGCTGTTTTACTCCATTTCTAATTCCTAGCCACCATTTTCAAACATGTCTAATAGCTCCTTGTCATAATAAACAGAACAATCTTGATATTTAATGTTTATTATAATTCTAGTACCTGATGACTTCAGGCATCTATAGCCTATTGTTTCTGCCCTTTCTTCTGTTTCTGGTGGAAAAATGTATGCTGGATATTGTGCATTTATAATGTTTATAAAGATAATTTGATGCCTAAGATTGTGATGTCTTCTGCAGGAGCAGATCTTCATCCTCATCCTGTCAGACATATGAGACATTATCAGTTTCAAACCACCGTAATCCACCTTAAATTTCCCTGGCACAGCACTTTAGCATCATAGGCCACACTGGTAGGGTGGTTCATCCAGGCCTGACATCCAGATTTGCTCTCTGTGTTGGCTTTTTTTCCCTTGGCATCCAAGAAAGCCAAATCTTAGTTTACATATTGTGCCTTCCATATTGGTGAATTTCCTAAGAGCAGGAATAGTTTTGAGTGGCAGCCTTATCATGGTGCATTCGTGCTTTATCCTAAGATGAGGTTTACATATCCTTCATCACAGTCAGTTTTTCAATACTTACAAAATTTCTTTCATCCTATTATTTTTGTGATCCTCAACCAGAAGTTTATTTTGAATTATTCACCATTTCTATTAAGCCTAATTTTCATATCTCCCTAATAGAGACATCCAAGTACAAAACGCCTACTTGCAGAACACTAATGGGCACCTTTTTTTAAACCTCAACTAGTAATACAGTAATGCTGGTATCTTTGTGGGGCGAGACTGTTCTCAAAACACTTTGTCAAAATCAAACTTCCAGGGCTGGAGAGATGGCTCAGCAGTTAAGAGCACTGGCTGCTCTTCCAGAGGACCCAGATTCAGTTTCTAGCACCTATATGGCAGCTAACAACTGCCTGTAATTCCAGTTCCAGGGGATCCAATGCCATCTTCTGACTTCCATAGGCCTTGCATGATATGGGTGCACTTACACACATGCAGGCAGAGCTCTCATACACATAAAATAAAAATAACAAATAATATATAAAAATCAAAATTCCTTCCATAAAATGGCACCATTCCTATATATAGCTTATGCATATCCTCCCAAGTCCTTTAAATTACCTCTAGATTATTTGCAATGCCTTGCATATTACTTCATTCATGTGAATTCCACTTGACACAAGACAAATTCAAGTTTTCCTTTTTAGAGCTTTCTGGAACTTCTTACTTTTCAAATATTTCCCATCTGAAGATGGTTGGAACTGCAAGTGCATCACACACAAGATTTTCTTAGGAAACGCACAGTACAGAAGGCCAACTCTGCTTAACGTGAAGCAAGCACAATATCTACTCAAAAAGATTTTGAGCAAGAGCCTCTGTAGAGGAACATTTCCTTTCCCTGGCATAGCTTATATTCTGGGAAAGGGCACATAATTGTTTCTAAATTATCACAGTTTGTTCATGCCATTCCCTATTTCAGAATGGATTGTCACTCTTTAGTTTTAGGTCAGCATTTACAACGTTTCTGTATTTTTGTCATAACTTGTAGAAGAGGCTCTAAACTGTGTAGTTACATGCTTTCTGTGGAGCTAAGACTCTCAACCTTTGTGGAATGTTTTGTGTTCTAGACATTGCTCCTAACAGGCTGGCTCTCTCCAAGGAAACATGAGTCAAGTCCTTTCATTCAATTTCTCTGTTTTTTTGCAGATTGGTGAAAAACTACACAAAGTCAAGATAGAGAACAAAGATCTCCGTGAAAGACTGCATACTGCTCTCAGACAATACAAGATTGTCTTAATGGAAGAAGATACTGTTTATTTGCAGAAACGGAAGGTCTTTGATGAGTATGTTTCTATCCATGAGAATCTCTATGCCATAGTCACAGGCTGCTTGTCTTGCTATTTGAGTGGTGACTGTTCATTTAAACTCATCCTAGTTTTAAAATCTGTTGATGACGATGATATATTCCCTACCCAATAAAAAGCAAACATCCTTCCAACTTGCATCTACAGTGATAAGTAATGCTTTCTTTATCTAGATCAGTTCAAACCCATAAAACTCAAATGTATTATTTGCACTCCTAAATCAGATTCAGGAAACCATAATTGTGCTTTTACCCCATGAGACTCTCCAATGAGCTATGATATCTACCTTTATCAAAAGCTGACTTCACACGTGTAGTCCATTCTCAGATAAGAGTTTGGTTACTGACAGTGACCTCCCCTCAGAAAGGACCTCCCCTCTTAGTCAAAGAAATCATTTATCTTTCACTACCCATTGGATTCCATTTGGTCACCAAGACTTGGCAATTTGACCTTCTGAGTATTTCTCTGTTCTCTTTACTTTTTCCACCCCTCAGCTTTGGCTTGCCACTCAAAAATTCTTATTTTCTTCTTCTTTACCACCAACTTGTCTATCTCCCTCCCTTCAGACTGATCTGAAGAACCCCTATGGTGCCACACCTTCCTATAACAACTGAATGCTAAATCGTTTGTCTTGATGGATTACGGACAGATCAGAAAAGTCATTCTATCTTATTCAGTCCTGTACACCCAGAACCTCATACATTTCTTAGTAGGTAATCAATATTCACCAATGTTTCCTTTATGAATATTACATAGTAATATCCTGAAAACATGAAATTGTGTAAATAAAAAAAATCCATTAGTGCGGGGCTAGCGAGATGGCTCAGGGTTAAGAGCACTGGTTGCTCCTGTAGAGGACATGGCTTCATTTCCCAGCACCTACATAGCATCTAACAACCATCCTTAACTCCAGTTCCAGGGGATCCAACACCCTATTCTGACCTCCATGGACCTTGCATGACACAGATGCACTTACATATATGCAGGCAATACACATAAAATAAATTAATTTTTAAAAATCCATTAGTACAATCAAAGCTATATTTCATAGATTGGTAATTTCTGTGCCCAGGCTCACTTATGGGAGGCTAAGGTAGCTCATTGTTGTAGCATTTAAACTTTAGTCTTGATGCAATCATTGTGTCTCATCCAGTGGCACAGAATGCCAGCAACAGTACTGTTAAAAGTCTTTCATCAAGCCCAGTGTAGTGGCACACACCCTTAATCCCAGCACTCAGGAGGCAGAGGCAGGTGGATCTCTGTGAGTTCAAGACCAGTCTGGTCTACATAGTCAGTTCCAGGTCAAGCAAAAATCTTTCCCAGATTCATGCTGCTTTAGTTATCACTTAAAATAGATAATGTGCTGATGACAAATAATAACACTGAAAATTCACTGTCATTGTACCTTCTTCATCAGCTTAGTCTCTATATCAAAATGCCATTGATTGACTGGCTTAAACAATAGAAAATTATTTTCTCCTAGCTATGGAACTACAGCAGCTGAGAACCTGAGATGACAGTGCCAATGTGTTTAGGTTCCAATGAAGGCCCCCTTCTTGACTTTAAGATAGCCTCTCCCTCTCTGTCTTTCCCTCTCTCCCTTCTCCCCCCCCCTCTTTTTCTCTCTTCTTTCTCCTTATAGGAGGGTATGGAGGGGTAGAGAATTTGTTTATTCCTATCTGTTTTTATAAGGGTACTTATCCCATCATAAGGGCCCTACCCCCATGACCTCATCCACACTAAATCACTTTCCAAAAGTCCCACCTTTATTATGTGCCTAAATATTACCAAAGGATTGGATCCCTATGACATTTGTTTCTATTATTAGAATAACTTTACTGATTCTTATTAAAAGTATTTTTAATTCAAATATATAAATAAATGCTTTGGAGAGAACAGGCTTTTCTGTCACTTTAGGGGTTAGGACTTTCACATACAAATTCTGGAAGACACAGTTTATTCCATGGCAGTTTTGGAGATGAGTCACTCTAATAACATTATTTCTCCTTCAGGCAAGTTCTTGTCACTGTAGGCTGTTTAGACAAAACCATAAGCTTCTCTAAGCCTCATTTTCTGTACTGCAAGTCAAGACAAAGAAACACCTTCTATAAACAAGTCTAATCGGTCTATACACTGAATCAGTAGTTACGTGATCCTTTCTTCCAGTGACATAGGCATTGAAGTCCTCATTTTAGAGATGTTGATATAGTGACATATCCACAGGCAAGGTTTCTTGTTCAAGGCCACACTGCAATTCAGGTGTTCAGCCAATCCTCAAAGCCAATTGAACTGTGTTCTTGTCCTTTGTCAGAAGAACCTGATGGAATTTATAAATGTATTAAGGGAGGCACATCCACTCAGACATAGAATACTGTACATTTCTTGCTGTCTTGTGGTTACTGGTGCAGTTTTTCTTCTTGTAATGGCTTAAGAAATTCTATTTGTTTATTATTTTTATTTTATGTGTGCGAGTGTATTCCCTGCATGTGTGTAAGTGCACCCATTTAATGCAATGCTCTCAGAAGCTAGAAGATGGCATTAGATCCCCCTGGAACTGGAGTTATGGGTGGTTGTTAGCTACCATGTGGGTGCTGGGAGTCAAATTCGGGTCCTCTGCAAGAGCAGTCGGTGCTCTTAACAGCTAAGCCATCTCTCCAGCCCTCCAAACTCTTTAAAGTAATTTTGTTTGAAATTTTTCTTACATTGGGAAATTTAAAATCATTATTTCTTGCCTACAATGTGTAAGTCCCTGGGTTCAATCTCCAGCACCTCAAAAAAAATTGATTCAACATTCAGCAAATGTCTGTTTCAACTATTGCTTTCTTTTGTTTGTTTGTTTGGTTTTTTTTCATAATAGAAATCAGAAACAACTGGAATTTATTTCTCAGAAAGAAAACTTCCTATCACAAAGAGAAGCAGACATCAAAAATATGGAGGAAGGATACAGCGTGCTCCAGGGACTTCATCAGTACGTTCTGTGCCTTTGGACTTTTAACTTTTTACTCTTCTCTGTGCATATTTCTTTAAAATTTGTAATAAGTCTATACCAATTTCTGGTGTATTACAGGAAAGTAGGTTTATAATTAGATGTCTGTTTCACAGTCTGTTAAAGTCACTATCGGTGCATCTTTCATTGAAGGGGTAGATAGGGATGGCAGACTCTGGTGGACACAGGTATGGGCCAGTTGTAGGACCAGTGACAAGAATGTGCCTGAGCATCATCTCAGTACTCATCCCCTCCAGCCTTCATCTCTGCCATTATGTCACTTTCAATTTTTTCTGACTAATAAAGTAGCACCTATACTTGACTTTAAATTCAAACATAAAAATGTGTAGCTTAGAGAACAAAAGTTACCGTAATCTCTCTCTCCCCATAGAAATAATCACTAGTAACAGTTTTCCACACATACTTTCAAATACATATTTATAAATTGATACATAGATAGGAGGTAGAGGCAGAGGCAGGCAGATCTCTGTGAGCTTGAGGCCAGCTTGGTCTACATAGAGAGTTCCAGACCAGCCTGTGCTATATAGTGAGACCCTGTTTCAAACAAAATAAAACAAGAAGCAACAACAAAAGAAAGCAACAACAAATTCTGGAGAGGCTGTGGAAGAAAAGAACACTTACATACTACTGATAGGAATGCACATTAGTGAAACCACTATGGAAATCAGTATGGAGGTTCTTTAAAAAACTAAAAGCAAATCTACCATATGACCTATATCACTCTTGTGTGTGTACCCAAAGAAATCTAAAAGTTTTCTTTAAGTTTTCTTTTCCATTCATTCATCAATGGGAACCTAGGCTGACTCCATAATGTACCTGTTGTGACTAGTGCTGCAGCGTACATGGGTGTGTAGGTATCTCTATTGTATGCTGAATCGGATTTCTTCAGATGTATACCTGAGTGGTATCAGGTAGATAATTTGATGGTTCTGTTTTTATTTTCTGAAGAACTTTCATATTGATTTCCATAGCGAATGTACTAATTTGCCTATATTTTCAAGTATTTCCTCTATGATTTCCTCTAATAGTTATCAGAGTTTTAGGTTTTACACGAAGGTCTCTGATCCATTTTGAATATATTTTTATATAGAGTGAGAGATCGGGATCTAGTTTCATTCTTCTGCATGTGGATGCCCATTTTTCTGAATCAGTGACTTTTCTGTTGCTGTGATACTATACTATATACCACAAGCAACTTAAGGAAGAGTTCATTTGGCTTACAGTTCCTGAGGAGTAGAGTTCATAATGGTGGGGAGGGATGGCAGCAGGAGCAGGAAGCTTGTGATCACACCTTTCATTCAAACACAGGAAGCAGAGAGCAAGATCCATAAGTGGGGCAGGGTTATGAACCTTCAAAGCCCATCCCCAGTGACGTACTTCCTCCAAGGAAAGATTGCAGCTCCTAAAGGTTCTATAACATCCCCAGACAGCACCACCAGCTGGGGACTACACATTCAAATACATGAGCCCATGTAGAGACATTTTTAATTCACAGCACAGCAGTCTTATACTAGGGTCTTTAATCTATTTTTGAATATATTTTTATACAGGGTAAGAGGTAAGGATATAGTTTCATCAAGAACTATGTATTGAAAAAGCCTATCTCTAGGCATATATTTCTTGATCTGCTATGTATAATTTGTCAGTAGGTTGTAGGAGTAATATATGTCTAGGTAAGTTTTATCTGAGAACAACTGGTCTTTGCCCAAGATTTATCTACATGACACACAATAATTAAAAATACCAGACTGGTGGA